AAGTAGGATAATTTGAGCCTGGTCATTTGTGCCTCAAGTGAGAACTCTGGTTTGATTTGTTCAATGAACCAATTCTCAGGAGTCTTCTCCAACACCAAAGTTCAAAGATGTCAATACTGTTCCTAACCTGCTTCTTTAAAGTCCAAAGACTTTAAAGTCCAGGTTAAAGTCAAACAGCAGATAAGGACAATTACAAAAAATTAGACTAAAGTTGAGTGTGGCAGTGAAAGAATTAAGGGCATGATAGCTAGGGGAAAAAGCTCTGGAGTGCCCTTTCCCATGGTGCCCTAAGCACCTCCTTATTTTGTTCAATGGTTAATCCAGGGCTGCGCCTACCTCTCCTTGTGACTCTCCTCTCTCTCAGTTCTCTTACCTCCTGTTTACTGCTGCCTCTCTTCCCAATGTCCTATTCTCCAACTTTCCCATTGCTAGCAACCTTCTGGCAAGCTTCTAAGAGTTTGCTACTGATTATGCCAAACATTCATTCTTTTTGTTGCTCCCAAATTCTAATTTTATATATTTATATTTATATTTATATTTATATATATGGCTGGCTGAGGAATTCTGGGAGTTGAAGTCCACACATCTTCAAGCTGCCAAGGCTGAGAAACATTGCTCTAATGTAATACTATTTATTTATTTATTTATTTGTTTGTTTGTTTGTTTTTCGAATTTGTCAGCACCCATCTCACTGTGGGATGACTCTGGGTGGTTTACAGTAAAAATAGAATAAATATTGATTAAAATAGATAAATATTAATTAATTTATAGTATTATAAAGGAAGTATGTTTTTTTGACATGCTTCCTTTATAATATTTTTTGAGTATGTCAAAAAAACATACTTCCTTTATAATACTTCCAAGAGGCAGATGTTAATTTGGTGTTAATAAACTCAGGGAGCATTGTCAAGGGGCCAGCCATCCCCAGGGCCGATTGTATCTTTCCTCACCCCAGGCAAGTTGGCAGAGCCAAGTCTTCAATTTCCTCTGAAAAATTGGGAGGGTAGGGGCCCGCCTCACCTCTGGGGGGAGAGCATTCTATGGGGGGGGGGCAACAGCAGACAAGGCTCTCCTCCTAGGACCCGCCAGTCAACGTTCTCTCGCTGACAGGATCCGCAACATGCCTTCTCTGCCTGTACTTATTACATTTCTTACAGCCAACCACTCCATTAGACTCTGGGTGGCTTACAAAGTCCAGAAAACAATTAACAACAATGAAACACACTTAAACAAGCAGTCTTGTCTAAAACAGACAGAACAATAAACCATGAGAATACGACAGGGTCCCACAAATCCATCAAAGAACACATTTACCTCAGGCCTAGGAACCTGTCAGGTTCAGCCCAAAGAACTCCCCAAGACAGTGCAGATACAGTTCTGTTGCATTTATTAGCTTCCACCTCAAGACAG